TTAAGGTAATTCCTAAAATTTCGAAATTGTATAGGTAGGTTAAGCATCCGTTTGCAGTATTTAGTCTGTACCTTCTCGATTGTTTCATTATACTGGAAACCCCACACTTCAGAGCCATGTGCTAATATAGGTAGAACCATGGATTCAAACATCTTGATAGCAGTATTAATTTGTAGACCTCCAGATAAGTAGTGTATCTTGTTGATGTTGAGACATACCCTTTCCACTTGTGCCAACGTAGATGTTGCTTTTGTGAAGAACTGTCCCAGATATTTATAGAAAGAAACTGTGTGTATTTTCATAATGTCTTAAACGTAGGGGTGGTAATGTAGATACACAAGACTGTTTTCATCAAAATCAAGTCCAAATATCAAACAGAAATCTACCGCAAGATGCTTCTGGAGTCGAGGAAACATACATTTGTCCCTCCTTTGACTGTCAGGTCCTTACTATCATGGGCAACGCACGATGTCAGACTTTGCAGGTATGTGACCTCTCCGTCCTGGGACCCGTGAATATCCGGGTTAGAATTGAACTTCAGTTGCCCGTGCTTGTCGTAAGAGGCGGCTAACGGGATCGGATGGTCAGTCTCCCTGGACACATGGCATCCCATCTTATCCCAATTGTGTAGAACGATGCTCATGTTGTTCATCACTGAATTTTCTGGTCAAGACTCTGTTATTTACAGACCACCATCATATAGCTGAAATATTGCTGCCAAACGGGATCGGGTGGTCAGGTCTTAAATGATATATGTCATCTTATTCAAACTGCGCAGATCGAAGTCCATGATGTCAATTACTGGAGTGTCTGGTCCACAATCTCTTTTACAGACTGCCTTAATGCAGCTGGAATATTGTTGGACACGGTTTTAAACCACAAATGGCAAACATAATAGCCTTGAACCAAAATGTATATGACGAAAAGGGGAAGTGTCGCATACTGAGGGTACATTCCACATGCATCATTCCATACAGAACCATATAAACAGCTGTTGTTTAAATATATTACAAGGGTACTCTGGGTTATTTTCTGATGTTGGTTTCATATTCAAGCCTGTTATTATGGTTCTGTTCCACAAATTCTGAACTGGGCTTCCTTATTGTAAATAAGAGTACTTCAGATTACATATGCAGCAATTCCTATAATTCGGCAATTACGAAAAGTACAAGTGAAGGTGTATTCTTCTGACTGAAAATGTGCTTGAAATGTACAAAAATTATATCATCTTACTGTTTACTCATCGCCTGTCTCCTACCTTATGTTATGTTTCCATAAAATAAAGCATCAATTTCAAATGCCTGACTTAAATGTTATCAATTCATGAAATGTCACGTAATATTTCTTCATGACTGGGAATGTCCGTTCCTGCGTCTGGACAAAGAAACCCTGTAGCGCAAATCCGTATAAGTGCGTCACCCGGTCTGAACACAACCTAGATCATTATCAATGATAAAGTTTCAACGTGGGGCCGGAGCGTTTTTTGGTTATACTTGTAACCAGTAGACCCCTGTGAGAGACCGTCTGACTTGTTTTGAAAACCCGTTGAGGTTTGCAATCAGATAGTCTGTATCTATAGACTATTACTACCATGGCCATGACGAAACCAAGTGTTCCCATTATCCATATGTGCATGTCACATGCATGCCATACAACAAGGGAGTCAGATCATAAGAGGATATGTTCTGGAGACACGCAGGTTGTCAGGTTGTGTAATACCATCAACGATGATTCCCAGTGGATCCGGTATCCACGTCAGTCCTATGAATCATAACATCACGTGATAGACGAGTGCACATGTGTCTGGCTACTGGCAAACATCCAAAATACATTGCATGACGCTACATGAAGAGACATGCTTGAGGCTGCCAATAACATTGTAGCAACTGACTTGTATTGTTCATGCAAACTTATATCTGCTGGTCTCGAGTATTGTTTTTCTAGAAAAGCAATGTCACGCCAATGTCAAAATGACAGAGTATGTTTTCGTAAGTACCGAACGTACTACTATCTTTCATCGTAAAAATTGTGTTATTTTAATTCATGGCTAGATAGTCTAAACTTGCTAACAACTGAAGGGATGGTGTAAATCCAGCTGGGGTCCTCATGGTCCCCAGTGTAAGTCCCCATGGTCACTAGTATGGTGATCTACCTTCAGCTGTTGGCAATCTATAGCCTCTTTTTATATTGTATACGTATTGTCGTCTGTTGCTAACATATTTTAGATTTACATACAAGTCTCATATTCATAGCTGTGATATTCTAGTTGTGTTTACTGTCCTTCGTTGACAGGCTTTTTTTATAATTGACATGTGTTTAGGGTGAATTAAAACTTGTTTTAGTCACGATATAGGCTGAAATATTGCCGATATGACTGTAAATCACTCATTCACTCACTTGTTGAGAATTGTGGGCCCACATTTGTAAATGTCAAACATCAACACCAAAGAATAGATTATCTACCACAAGCCAAGCTACTGCAATGTGCATGAATGAATCACTGTAAATCATTAATGTCACTCACAGTTAGCAAAACACTTTGTACCTTTGTTCTGCAGGCACGACACGCAAAACATTGGAGTCCAGACAAGGCAATCCAGTGATCAGTATAATGAACAAGTAGCACGGTACGTACAACGCCACAATTTCATCCAAGCCGGCAAGTCTAACTGAGGAAAGAATTTGAGCCAAATGTGTAAAAAGACCACGTCGATAAGCAACATTTCATATCTAACGAATCCCTCTTAATGTCTACCACACAATTTATGGAATGGCATGACCAGGAGTGTGCTCTTGAAACGTTGATCACACATGCTCAACAGTGTGAATAATCATTGTATTCCATGCCATAAGCCCGCCATATAGCTGAAATATTGCTGAGTGCGGCGTAAAACTAAAGGCACTCACTCCATGCCATCAGCGGGATTGTGGTTGATGGTATTAAATAATAACGTTAAGAAAAGTTACGAATTACTGCAAGATTCTTCAATGGTTTTTACAATGATGATACACTATATAGTGGCAGTTCAAAAGAAAACCACATCATGTATGAAGTCAGTGATAACAATATTAATTGTGCAGAAGCAGTGCTCATACTTCAAAATAGGCAAGGGGTGGATATTCTGATTGAATACATGATCTTCCCACACCTGCTTGTTTTAATGTATTGATAGACATGCGCTTGCAAACAGATACAGTCTGAATACGGTCCTAAACTGTCCATATCCAGTTGCAATTAGGTATAGCTAGTTCTTTAAGATTCCAGTTTACACTTGATTTCAAAGGCATTCATCGCACTGTTGACATTACTCAGACGTTACACAATGTTATTAACGTGTGCGGGATTTTAGCAGACTTAATATACTTCAACAACAGCATTGTTTAACAATAAATTGTAACAATAGGCATTAGAAACAGATAGAGCGGTCTATGCTAATTACTAAACATCTCCTCACGATAGAGTCACAATTGTTCAATCGACTATGCTTTTGGCAGAGATAACTTATGAATGTGTAAAGTTCTTTTTTGCTTCTATTTTGATATGATTGATGTCTAAATTGTTTTTGGGTTCGTCGTTCCCAACGGTGGAGTAATTTATCTGATGTTTGACCTTATTCTTGAACAGAAGCAAGCGTAATAATCAAAGTCATAGTCATATTCTTGCAACAGGACAGGTCCAGCACCAGTGGCACTAGACAAAGTTATATAATATAACCACCATTCCATCACCAACCCATCCTTCACCCCTAACGTAGCCATGGTATGTGTTCACTCTACTTGCATTCGTTGCTTTGTGCATGTTGGGTGTTGTGAGTGTGTGTCGGAGTTGTTGGCATGTTTCAAGTATATGTTATGTGCACGTAGTTTTGCACGGACATGGTTTTATGTTGGGAAGCGTGCACTGGCACAATCGACGCCAGGAACATGTTATCTGTGACCAAATAATCTCTATATCAATATCACCCATCCCGTGTTTACGTGTTCGCCTTTGTATTAGACAGGTATTGCTAAAGAGACCAAGATATACATCTCTAGATACACTGGAGACAACAATACGATGAGATCGGTTTACTATCACACAGTTCTTCATGGCTTCTATTGCAGAAATGTTCGTAATTCGTTTGGTTTGCTTGACAAAATAAGTATTCTTCATTTCAATTCTGTATGCTGGGAGGGTTGATGTCATTTCAGCGTAAATCGGGACAGATGGTTGCGATATACACCATAGATATACCTGATTACTGACAAAGAGAATTCCATAGGGCAGTAAAGACATAGGTGGTTTAAGAAAATTGCAAGTCCTGCTTGGTGGCACGCATCACTCTTACAAAAAAATGTCAGAAGCAATATATTATTTGTTTGTTGCCTACTGCCACATACGACAAAGTATAACAACAACTGCTATATACATATAACGTTTTATTTGGTGTCACATGAAAGTCAATTAATAGAAACATATGTCAAGCGATTTTCCCTTCTCTACTCATTGTCAACAGACCCAGGCGACGGGGGAAATCTTGGTTTTGACATCACTAAACCCCTCACTGATCACATATAGATCGCAATAAGCTCGACTGTTTTTGTTAAAAGCTGATGTATCAACACAAAAAATAGCACGAACATGCTTTAAGAAAGAAACGTGTGGAAATATTTTCATTTTATTCTTAAATTACCTGCTGAAAGGATGGTAGGAGCTAATGAAGTGTTATGCGCTTCCAGTTTTCTGAATAAGGTTATCTCTTCTTACATATACGTCTCTCTCTCTCTCTCTCTCCCCCCTCTCTCTCTCTCACACAAACACACACACACACCACACATATACACACACATAATATAATTCACGTAAATAGTAATGGTTAAGAATTGTTATAATTTATAACATATATAAAACTGTGCCTAAAGATGAATACCATTGTGAATTGTGTTGAGATAAATCTTTCAAGCCGTAGAAAGCAAACTAAAGCCATTATCAATGTGTCCAATCAGTGTAGAGTCTGTCGGACGTAACACGCACGCAAGGCGGTTTGTGGGCATCTGTTGCTAGGACATGTGACATGACAAACAAAGCTAGTGCTATCTAGCCTTGTATAAAACGAAGGAAGACCTTGCTATCAACCACAGACCACTACGTCAGTGACTGCAGGTTGTGTGACTACTTTTAGCACTACAACCATGGACCGTGGTGTTTTGTTCATATGCGCTGGTAACTTTATTCATTTATTTCTATTTTAAGTAATATGTTCCAGGTAAGTGATGTGTGAAATGTTTACAGTGAAAACAGCGTTCAACGTCGTGGTAATTCAAAGTCTTTGATAGATCCAAAAGAGTATTTGATGGCATGTTAGGCTCTTGATTAACTTTTAGAACAGTTCACATGACTCAGATACGGACAAACTTTATGGATGAACAAGTTCGTAATTCAAGTGATGTCACGTTTCGATTCACAGATTCTTGCATCGTTGTCAACCATATCACTTCTTAAATTATTTAATACAACACGTACTTCGAATATAGCATTCTTCCTTGTGTATTGTCAGATTCATGAAAACATGGACTTTGAAAACTCCCGTTTTTATCTGTAAGTTATAGCGGTATACTTACTGAAACTATAGGTGTATAATTGTGTGTTTTGTAATTTCAGCTATGATGATCCATGCTGTGATCAGAGATGTCAATGCAGCAAACTGTGCGACCGCCACCGACTGTAACGGCCAAGGTACCTGTCCTGACACTTCCGCACCATGTTCGTGCACAGGCGGATACACTGGAGATTTCTGTGCAACAGGTAACAGCATAACAGTTTACATATTTGCACAATAAATATGTGTAATCAGTAACTGTGCAGTTTGAACCTTAGTGACTCCATTTTGATGAAAAGCTCTCTTTTATTGCACAACATGTATCTATTGTACCCATTCGCTGTGTATATTTTATTTACTTCCCGAAACAGAAATATAGGATAATTTCGTGAAACAAATTCTCAAGCAGTTTACAAGGCCTTCTGATCTGACCAAAAGTGAGTGGGATTTCAAACACGAAAGTAATTTTATTTAAAGTTTTCTTATAAACATGCAAATGAAACTGATATAATATTCACCCAGATGGTGTGGGTAACAACATTAAGAAACCAAAATAGAGACCCTCCTGCGCACCAATTTTGCTCCAGACCTTGCGGGTCTCTTTCCTCCTGCATGAGACAGAAATTCTAGCCAGGTTGACAAAATCAAAACAAGATAATTTGGCCGAGGAGTTTAACTTAAACGTCAGATGTATGGGTATTTTGTTATTGTTGATTTAAAATCATATAGCCAGTTTCCAGCCTTTGGTGTATATAACTTTTGAGGTACAATCGCCCATGCTCTTTTATCAACATTTCAGAAAGCGTCATATGGAGTTGCTCGAAAAGGTTAAAGCATCCAAGACCAAAGTAAAGCGTTCAGAAAATTGTAATGTAGACATGTTGAAGACATTTAGGAATATTATGCTTCTGTGCCAAAAATATTGTCCGATGCAGTTCCCTATTTCGACTTGCATTTCTGGTTTTCGCGCCGCGATATTGCTGGAATATTGCTAAAAGAAACGTAAAACCATACTCGTTCACTCACTATTTCGACATGTACCGTACGCTTGCATATTTCGAATAGGTTAACTAGATTTGCATTTGTTTATGACGAGCGTCAATGGGTCTTGATAGCCTCACCTTTTTGCGAACACCTGAAAATATTGCTAATTGGGCACACGTGAGGAGCCACCTCCTCGTGGTTGGTGCTTGGTAACGCTAAGAGCTCTTCAACCCGCCGTGTGGACCCGGGGGTATATTTGGTCCACCAACCAGTTTGCCGTGGGTTGCGCCCCTATGTTGACGACACTGGGAGCCTGGAACCGTATTCTTTTTGCCCAACACCCCACTTCACCCCTTACTTCACCTAGACGGGTGGTAGACCTGGCCCAGTTCTATCAATCGGCTGGTCACGCCATGGCCCTGTGCATGGGCAACATTCATATGCAATTATTGTCAATTTTTGTACAGTTTTGACATGTTTGTATTTCCAAGTATCTTATATATGTTTGCCTAGAGTCCTATGCCAGAAGACGGTGGCTCATTGGTCAATGACCTCCAAATGATGTATGTCTCTAATTTCATGTCTTGGGCCGAACCAGTCGGGCATGAAATTGGTTGATAAATGCAGCTATTTGTGTCGTTTTCTCTGGAGTATACCACCCCTGTATCCCAGGTGTCGGCATCCTGGATATCCGGTGCTACTTGACACTGTCCTTGTTGACACTCTCTGTCAATCAGAGGTTCCTCTAGACAACCCTTTTGATATGGAGGTTACCCTATCTCCACAAGACAGACAGAGGAAAAATTCCTCCTCACATTCACTAGAACGATCGCCAAGTGAGGCACCATGACCCAATTGTCGAATTTAATACAGTGGAATTGCAGATGATTGAAACATAATTTCAACGAGATCCAATTGTTGATGAAGGATTGTAACTGTCAGCATTATGTTTTCAAGAGACTTATTTTTTTTAAAAATACTGATAACTTTAATCTGAGACAGTATACTGATTATCACTCCTTTTCTCCTCCGGGAGATAAATCAACTCGAGGTGCTACCATTTTGGTGCGCCAGGGTATTATTCGTAGCCCTGTATCTCTTAATACCAATCTTCGTGTGACCCTGCACATTGCTTTGACTTTGTGCAGCTTGTATATCCCTCCATCGTTTGATATCCGACTGTCGGATCCTCCTGAGAGGGTACGTACGTCCCAAAACATTCTAGGTAGATTTAAACCTACTGTTATTTTTAATCGTAGCATATATGTTCTTTTAATTTACGGCTAGATTGTGGTGAATTCACAACTTGTTTATAATCACGATATGGCTGAAATATTGCCTATGTAACTTAAAATCTTAACTCACTCACTAACACACTCCGACTGTCGGATCTGCAAAATCTGTATGATCAGCTTCCAAAGCCATGTATCATCATGGGCGATCTGAATGGACACAACCTGCTTTGGGGAATTGCCCACACTAATACTAAAGGAAAAATCCTTGAAGAATTCATTTCCAATAATAATTTATGTATTTTCAATAACGACTAAGCTACTTATTTACATCCAGCTGCGGGAACATACCCTTCCCTGGATCTGTCACTCGCCGATTCTAACTTACATAATGAATTTGAATGCTTGGTCCATGATGACCTATGTGGGAGTGATGACTTCCCCACCATTTTGAAAACAGTCGACCCTGGTGATGATCCACCATTATCAAGAAGGAATTTCGCCAGGGCTGATTGGTCATTATACAAGACTATATGTACTGATCACTTAAAACATGCTGTTTTTGCGAACAGTGACGATCCTATACAGTTATTCTCAGATATTCTCAGATTTTTACAGCCGAAGCAAACGTCATATTAACAGCTCTTAAATATACACCCATGCATTAATTAAGCACTACCCTATTTTGAAAATAAGATGTGATGCTACAGAAGAGTAAGGGTATAACTATCAATTTAATCAACCTGTAGTTAAAGAAGCTTTATCCACTGACAAATACCATAACCTTTTCTATTCTTTATGAAAGATGAAAATGTTGATGAAAATGTGACAGGACTGAATTTTTACCCAAATAACTATTCCTTTCCTGCTCAAACTACGCAATTAAATTAAATTTTGACTAAAAATAACAATTTTGTTTTATACCAAGATGACATATACACATCAAGTAAGCTTTAATTCTGCATAATCAGAAAAAAACGAAATGAGGAAGATTCAGACCTTTTTCCAACAATTAAGATTGCTCATTGACAAAAACTGAAACAAAGGCCACACTAATAAGATTTTGAAATAATTGTTTTGTGATTTTGAGTTTATTGTAATGAATGAACACTTCTTGCCGGATACTGATAATTACAGCTAAAATCTGTTTGTTTTGTTTGTAAAGCAACTTTTACTGCATTTTAAAATTTTCCTTTTTTTAGTTTGACTGTACCTTTTCCTCAATCTTAGTTTACAAACTCTCATCCATTCACAACAAATAACGAATTTATAGGCCACACAACAATAAATTATTACTTTCACTTTTCAAAATAAGGTAACATGTTTTAGGACAGAAAAACACCTGTTTTAAACATAGGAAATTATCCTAATTAAAGTACATGGTAATTTCAATGATGTTTTCGTTTTTGAAATGTTAAATACTTGGTCAATCAAATTATAAAGGTTATTTTTGGAAAGAATTTCATTTCAGACAAAATTAATTGGTAAAAATACAGGGGGGTGCTTATTTTATGCACAGATGTATATATTCAAAGACATCCTAAACATAAACAATATATAATCTTTTCTGACTCTCTTTTTGCCTCCAGGCTATTAAAAATCTTTCTTGTAAACATCCATTTTTAATAGAAGTTGCTGTATTATATAATGAGCTTGCTACTGGCCAATACGACATCATTCTCTGTTTGTTACCCAGCCACGCTGGCATTTCTTGCTGCCAAGGCAGCACTACACAAATCTGTGACACCACTTCTTATAAATAAATTACATGCACTAAAGCCTTACATTGGTTATATATACTTCGGTTGTCAGTCCAGATTTGAAGAGGTCATTATGCGACGATGTCGCATTGGCCACACACGATATACGCACGAATATATACTATTCAAAAAAGAAGGGGATATCGGACTTTGATGGCTGATCACAGGCAACGTGTGAAAACGAGAACCGGAACAAATAATAAAGAACCTTTAAGGGAATTGGAATTTGATAATGCCAAAGAAACATGCCAGGACATTCTGTGGTATGGGTCAAACTACATCAAGGGTCAATCTGCAAATTTACCATACGGTAAAAAACAAGTCAATCATGGGTAAATCCCCCTCTGTTGGCCAAACAGGCACTGATCCGACGTGGCATACACCATTTGAGGCGTCGCAAGTCATTTTGATTCAGATTATTCCACTCTTCTTGCAATGCAACGGCAGGTTCTTGGAGAACACTAGGCCGTTATTGATGTTGCCGTGAGCGCTGTCCAAACATGTCCCAGACATGCTCGATGGGCGAAAAGTCTGGACTTAAGGCTGGCCATGGTCATCTGTTTATAATCAGCGGTTGGAGGTATTCAGTGACAACCCTAGCCCTGTGACATCTGGCGTTGTCATCTTGGAAGATGAAATGGCGGCCATGGCGTCCAGCAAATGGCACAACGTGGGCTGCCAGGGTGTTGTCACGGTAGCACTGACCTGTAAGACGACCAGCAACACATGTAAGTCCGTTCTGTCAGCCTGTGTTGTGCCGACCTGTAGCATGCCAAGGGCACGTAATCTTTCAGCTCGAGAAAGTCTGCGCATATCTCAAAGTTGTTAACAGAGTTCTAAAACAACCAATTTGATGTTTGCACATTCCATTTTCCTCTGATAATGGCGAGAAACTTCACATCCAACATCGTGCAAATGTCAGGTTTAACCTCCATGATCATCACAGGTATCACGTGCATATTATGGGCATGTCAGTGCTGTCTTTGGGCGATATTTTTACATGAAATGATTACTCTCAAAGGATAAATAATACTTTCCTTGATAATCATTTATATTTACTAGAACAAAGCATGTGAAATGGAATATCCCCTACTTCTTGGGGATAGTATCCAGTAAAAGGTGAGGATCCTCCGTTTTGTATCCCTTGTGATGAATGAATCACGGTCAAGCATGTCCTGCTTGACTGTGATGATTTTTCCCTCACAAAGGATAAATATTTCAATGTAAACACGGTAAAAGATCTTTTTAACAAAGTTAATTATCATTTAAATATTGAGTTTTTAAAAGAGATTTGTTAAATGAACTTTGATATATGTTTAGTAAATAGATAAGATTTTATAATTGGTAGTTTAGATTATCAACTTCGATTGTTAGTGGCTGTACCCTCAAGGGGTGTTAAAGTATTGTTAAGTTATTGTCCTCCTGAGAGGGTACGTAAGTCCCGAAAATTTCAAAGTATACTTAAAACTTACCAGGATTTTAAGCGTAGAATGTTTGTGATTTTAATTATGGCTAAATTTGACTACAATCGCCAGGGGCTGAGGAGAAGATGTAAATCCAACTAGGGTCCATGCAGGTAGCAACGGTACTGTAAGTCCCCATGGTCTTTAGTATGGTGATCAACATTCAGTTGCTGGTGATCTATAGCTTATATTGTACTGTTGTTTCTCGTGATATATTTTATGATAGCGTAGTTTTAAATTAAGAGCTGTGATATGCTAGTGGTTTTACTGTCCTTCGATGACAGGTTTTTACGTTATACATTTATTGATTTGTATATTGATATATACTGCTTTCGTCACGATATGGCTGCAATATTGCCGATGTGACGATAAGTTTTAACTCACTCACTCAATCATTGTCCCCCATTGAACATCTTGATACTCTTGATCGACGCCTGCGCCAGCGTAATCCGGCACCTAAGACACTACAAGAAATGCACACAGCACTTCAGCAAGAGTTTAAAAACATTCATCACGACAGCATTCGGCATCTCCTTTCTTCTATTGGTCACCGCTGCCAAGCTTGTTATCGATGCTCATGGTGGTCACAGCAGATACTGACATTTTCCTCTGACCAAGTGGCTTTAATAGCCCTCTGTGGTTTTACCTTTCTGGATAATCATGTTTCGGAAATTTGTAAAGTGATGATTTTACTGTAACTGAGCAATGATGTTATGTTTGATTCAATTATATGCACTCAGTAAGTAAACTCCAAAACGGCATGTCAAGTTTCTTTTTTGTAGAGTATATATTTTCCAGCTCAATGCCGGCAGCAGAAATGAATGGTTTAATTATTACCCCAAGAAGCGGAACAAGAGAAGACGTTATGTTGTACAATTCCTCATAAAGATAAATGCAGGGTTAGAATCGTTAGAATAGAGTTTTGTAATATAGTGTAAAGATAATTCCATAAGGCGTTGTGTAAGAGATGGTTCATCAGCCTCGCCGTTGATACCAAAACTATGTAAATCCCTTAAAATGCCATGCTTCCAGGTGGTATCGTATGCTTTCTTGCGAGCAAAGAATATCGATAATGCATGTTGTTTATTTATTATAGCATTTTAGCAAAGGATTGTAAACGTACCAAATGTTGAATGGTAGAAAAAAAAATTTCTGAAACGACATGGAATATTTGTTATAAGGTTATTGGTTTCAATTGAGTGAGTTATTATTTAAAGTCACATCGGCATATAATTTATTGACATCTACCTGGGTACCCCACTTCTTTTGCATTAGATCCTGGATATAAGATTTAATTACAGGTTTATAATCACTGTAGGGTATCAGAAGTAGTGTCACTGATTTGTTGAGAGCTGCCTTAGGTCTGTAATTAGAAGGATCAGTATGATCCCGGCCAGGCTTTGGAATAGGGACAACAATGGCATTATGCCACGAAGTTGGGAAATTCCCCGAAGTACATATTTAATCAAAAAATTTCTAAAATGACTTTTAAACATGATTCAGGCAAATGCTTCAAGAGCTGATAGCGTATATTATCAGCCCCTGTTGCCTTATCATGAGCTTGCTCAAGGGCAGTATGGAGCTAACGTAACGAAATTAATTCGTTGTAACCTTCGCCACTATCCGATCTAAAATTTATTCTTTTCTTCTGTTGTTTCTGATAGAAACTCAGGGACATAATTTGATGAATATTTTGCGAGAGTTTCACCAAGTTTATTCGCAATGTCAGCTTTATCAGTTAATAAATTGCCACCGTCTTTGAGATGGTGAACAGTAGATTTTGAGCCTTTGCCTTTAATCCTTTGTGTGATATTCCACACCTTCGAAATAGGTGTGCGAGAATTTATTTTGGAAACATAGTTTCTCCAACACTGACGCTTATTCTGCTAAAAGCATATATTCGAGCCTTGGCATTTAACATTTTAACTTTATTTAGATTATTCATGGTACGATGTCGGCAAAAATACTCTTCCGCCTTCTTCCTACTCTTTCTGTTTACATTTATTATTAAACCATGGTTTACGAATGTGTGGGATTGCATAGGACTTTGGTATAGTTTGGTCAGCAGTGTTGTTCAGCATATCTCAACATAACTGTATAGGATCTTCGCTGTTCGCAAAATGTTTTAAGTGATCTCTACACAGTGTCTTATAAAATGACCAGTCAGCCCTGGCGAAGTTCCGTCATGATAAAGGTGGATCATCACCAGGGTTGATTGTTTTGAGAATGGTGGGGAAATGATCACTCCCACATAGGTCATCATGGGCCATCCATTCAAATTCATTATATATAAGGAAGAATTGGTGAGTGACAGATCTCGAGAAGAACATGTTCCCGTAGCTGGATGTAAATAGGTGTGTGAATCATTGTTAAATATACACAGGTTATTATCGGAAATGAATTCCTCAAGGATTTTACCTTTATTATTAGTACGGACACTTCCCCAAAGCTGGTCGTGTCCGTTAAGATCGCCCATGATGAGACATGGCTTCGGAAGTTGATCATACAGACTTTGAAGATCCGATTGTTGAATATTAGGAGCAGGAGGGATATACAAGCTGTACAATGTCAGCGCATTGGGCAGAGTCAGACGAACAGCAACGGTTTGAAGATCTGTATTTAGAATGGCAGGGCTGTGTATGACGCTCTGATGTACCAAAATAGAAGCGCCTGCAGTTGTTTTTTTCCCCAGGAGGGTAAAAGGAATGATAATAACTATACCGTCTTAAGTTAAAGGTGTCTGTATTTTTAAGGTATGTCTCCTGGAGACATAATGCTGACGGTTGAAGATCTTCTATGAGATCTTACATTGGAGGTATTTTTCAATCGTCTGCAATTCCACTGAATTATATTGGCCAATTGAGTCATGGAGCCTCAAGGGATCGTTCATGTGAATGTGAGAAGGAATTATTCCTCCGCCTGTTCTGTAAGGACAAAGTAACCTCCACATCAAAAGTGTTTTCTGGAGGAACCTCGGGAGGGGATGGGTTGTTAGGGCTTCGAAGAGCTATTAGCGTCACCCAGCACCCAACACCAGGAGGTTGCTCTTCAAGGGTGCCTAATGTTTTTCTTGTGTGAAATCTCAGTTTGTGTTATAAATATAGTCACACAGAACGTCACAAAACCGGCAATATTATAATCCAACGACTTGGATATTATTCACACAATGGAAATTTACATATTATTGTTTTCAAACAGAAACGCTTGTTACTGTTAGGTTTGAAGTAAATCCTGCTGGTTCATAATGCTGGCAGCAGAGGTAATGTAAGGCCCTTTACCTCTCATAAGATGATCTCGCGTAAGGCTTTTGCCGTTAGCACTACACAGACAGTATTATGTAAACTGCCAAAGGTATAGAACAGGGGATGTTAGTTTATACACATTACAACATGTGGGTCAGATACTCGACTCGAACTTATTTTATCTTCGCTTGCGCTCTTCATGACAGTGTGAGGTTTTCACAATGGTAATGGCTGATGGGGAAAACAACACTGTCAGGATATGGGTATTTTTAAGGACACTACTAATGTTTATTGAATGTAGCTTTTCAAACCATTTATTATTTTGTCCTGCCAGATAGCTGGAAATTTGCTGCGTGCGGCGTTAAAGAAAAAAACAAACCAATACTATGTCCGTCCGTCTGTCGTGTACGTTTCATGAACGTGAAATGAAACTGTTGCCATTTACAGCACCACCTGCCTGCACCGCAAGCGGAGGTGAATGTGGCTCCCACGGTTCTTGTGACGTCAGCGCTACCCCCGCTGTCTGCTCCTGCACAGGCGGATATACGGGTGCTTTATGTACAACTGGTATGGCGTGTAAAAAATGTTTTAGGAACTGGATCATCTGTGCTATGTAACACTTGTTATTCTCATGTTTGACATAAATCCTGGAAGATATATCCTGGATATATGCTGGAAGAAGATGTTATGTGAAACCCTATGCCTTTGATAACATGGTCAAGCTAACGGTTTTCCCCTTTATCGCTGAACAGAACGTATAATGTAGCTTCAGTCACACTGTAAAAAGTGTAGGACAGATGATATAGGTTTATACACATTACAATATTTGTGTCAGAAACTCGACTCAAACCTATTTTTCTTCGTTTGCGCTCTTCATGACAGTGTGTGGTTTCAACAATGGTAATGGCTGATGGGTAAAAATAACACTGTCAGGATATGTTCCTTTTTAAGGACATATTTAATGGGTTTTTTGCATGTAGCTATACGAACGATTTATTGATTCGTGTCGCCATATAGTTGGAATATAGTTGACAGCGGAGTTATAGAACAAATCAAACTAATACTGAGTCCGTCCGTCTGTCTTGTACGTTTCACATGTGTATAGGAGATATGAAACTGTTGCCATTTACAGCACCTGCTGCCTGCACCGCAAGCGGAGGTGAATGTGGTTCCCACGGTACCTGTGACGTCAGCGCTACACCCGCTGTCTGTACCTGCACTGGCGGATATACGGGTGCTTTATGTGATACCGGTATGGCGTGTAAAGCATGTTTTGTAAAATGGATCATCTGTGCAATGTAACACTTGTTCATATTGCAAACATTTGTGTCTCAAACTATAATATCTTCGAACAGATTTGGAGATATATATTGATGATATTATTTATCTTTTTATGCAACTTCGTGAATCAAAATGTCACACGTGTATCATCGAATATGTCCGATGTCAGACGTTATAGCGTGTGTATTAGTAACTCGACTTCATATTTCGACGTATGGTATATCTGCATGATATAATGTTTTTGTTGTTTTTGTTGTGTGGAATCCTATTCAGTTTCTATTATAAATGGAGCTACACAGGACGGCACAATACTAACGATATCATTATCCCTTGGTTCATAAAAATATTCACACAGTGTGGATTCATATAGAAATTGTTTTCATACAGAACGTATTATTACCGTCTCTCAAATTGTCAAAGGCGTGGAACCCAGGATGTCAGGTGATACACATCGCAGCATATCTTCGCTGGCGCTCTTCATGACAGTGTGGGGTTTTCCAAGTGTTAATGGCTGATGGATAAAACAACTCCGTTAAGATATGGTTCAATGAGACTATAAATGTTTATTCATGTATCTATACAAAATATTTACTAGTTTGTCCTGCCATATTGCTTGAATATAGCTGAATGCTGAGTTCAAGAACAAACCAATCTGTCTACTTTCCACATGTACACAGGATATATGAAACTGTTGCCTTTACAGCACCTACAGCTACAGCTGCCTGCACCTCGGGCGGAAGTGAATGTGGCACCCACGGTACCTGTGACACCACCGCTACACCCGCTGCCTGCACCTGCACAGACGGATATACGGGCAACACATGTGGAACTGGTATGACGTGTAAAACTTGTTTCAGGAACTCGATCATCTGCGCTATGTAACTATTGTATCCGTTAGGTTTGACGTTAAGCCCATCGGTTCATTATGCTGGAAGTAAATTAAGTACGACGCAGCGGCGTTCATGAGACGATCCAGCGTACGGATTTTGCCGTTATAGTTATCACATCATCAGTAGTATAATCTCACTTCTAATATTTTTCTCCATTTTAAAATAGTTTTATGGCGTCACATATAAACATAAAGTATGACTAAAATTTCCTTTGTTATTGTACACTTTCGGAAGAAATAATCTTATTGTGATCATATTGATGTTCATAATCAATATATATTACAGTTCTTTCTATCCCGCTAGGGTCCATGCAGATAGTAATGTAAAATTCCCATTGTGCCGAGTGTGGTGTTCTGCCTTCAGTTGTTCGCCATCTATAGCCATTTATATTGTATTGTCCAAAAATGCTATTAGTTTTAACTTAACATGCTAGTTTTAATTTAACTGTCATAATCTAGGTGCCTTACTGTCCTTTGACGACAGGTTTTATCATATACATATATTTTTTATCAACATCATAAGTGTTCTCGTCACGATATGGCTGAAACATTGCCAACGTCACGTTAAATATTAACTCACTCACTCACTCACTATAGTTCTTTCTCTTTTCTGATATTCTCTTTCACTACAAACAGGATCCCAACATATACCTTAAAATACCAAATACCACGTTAGTCAGTAACCCGGCGCCAATCGAATTAATCTCTGTCACTGCACTACATCATAGGGCTGCACTGTTACTGACATAAGTTCACTTTCTTGACAGACAAGTGTCGAAGGGAAAACATGCAATCCAAAACTGCTCACAGTTTGCAATAACATGTGACGTCGTATCAGGATAATACCCACTTGTACGCTAACAACCCGATTTCCCCCATTGCACCTGTCTGGGATGAAATTTAGTTGTCTTACGATGCAGTGCTAGTAGACAACATTTGTTCAGCTGTATCAATCAGTGGTTGACATTTGGAACAATAGCTCCCAGGTTGTCTAAAAATCAGCTGCTGTAGTCATCGAGCCGCAGCGTTGCCTGTTATTGTGCAAATGTTGCTCACATCCAATACTGGTATTGTATATTGAGTTGTAACTCTACCCTTCACTTAGGGCGCATTATTATATCTTGTTACCAGATATGAGATTTGTCAATATACTTGTTATGGTAAAACATTGACTGGACGATTGATGTCATATCATGTTACTATGTCAACGTGAAATGTTTACCACTCTATGTTTAACTTTACAATTACATGTTTTGTTTTTCTGCGTATGTACATTTTCGTCTTCTTATGTATGTAGCAAAACACAAATGATATAATTAAACCCTTGCCAAAATCAAATGCAGATTTAATTTCGGAATTTATTTTGGTAAATATTTATCACATTTAAAATGTCAATGCCACAACAGATATGTTCAGTAAAATGTACCACAGTTATCTGTAGTTAGCGCTTATATCATTGATGGTACCAATACTGTAGTAAGCATTTCACATTAAAAAACAAAACGGAAAAAACATCTGTAGGATAATGCGAAATGTTCTGTGCGAATATATCTGCGGGATATATAGTTAATGCAGTAGTTAAGTAAGTCTTTCATACTGATACAGCTATAGATGTATAAAAATACGATCAGAACCTAGTCACCGTCCTGTCAAAATATCTGTGTCTTTTCAGCGTCATGTACAAGTGGGGGCAGTGAGTGTGGCAGTCACGGAACCTGCATTACAACTGGCTCCACCGTGAAATGCGACTGCAATACTGGCTATACTGGGACCCTTTGTGATGAACGTATGTATAAATGTATATGTATATATATATATATATATATATATATATATGTGTGTGTGTGTGTGTGTGTGTGTGTGTGTGTGTGTGTCTGTAATACGGATGCTTCATCTACACTGAAGGATCATAACATTTGGACATACGGGAAAACAATAACAAACCTGATGAAAGTCGTTTGGTCAGAAACAGGTTATCTCATTATAGCAAGATGAATTCACACATGAGAACCAAATGGCTTTGTCTCTTTTGAGACTGATAACCAAGGAAGCAGTTTGGATAGTATAGCAACAATGGGAACATATTTGTGGCGTAAGCAGGTCGGTGAAGTAGGACATTGTTTTGTGGGATAAATTGGCAATATGCTCAAATATTAATTTTATAACATATGCTATATCTGGTATTACACTTTCTGAGTAAAGTACAAATTCTAGTACTTTTGTTGGGTTGAGCCCTATCCGGGACTCAAACCCAGATCATCAGAGTCAGGCATCTAATCGCCAGCACACAACGTCAGACGCCTAACCCGCTCAGTCGGACAACGGGTAGTCTAGACAAGTATTCTTGTTTTCTAGAATCCTAAGCGGCTGAAGGGATGGTGTAAATCCAACAAGGGTCCATTCAGGTAACAAAGGCACTGTAAGTCGACATGGTCCCTTGTATGGTGATCTACCTTCATGGTGCCTTGTATGGTGATCTACCTTCAGTTTGTTGGCGACCTAAAGCCTGTTTTTCTATAATATGCCATCATCTTTCTTCCCAGAAAGTGCTATAACTTATTATTGTTAGATGCAAGCCATGGTAAAACAAATTGAGTATCAAAACTTAAGTTATTAATTTGCAAGATGGGTTTGGATATATATGGAAAAGACAGTATATTAGTAGCTTAAATTCCTTCCGATCTGAATTGTTTATCAGGGCTCAGCATATATCCCATCAAGAATGGCATAACTCGTTATCATCAAGTTCTAAAACTTGAAGTTCTCTTTTCAAGTGTAATCTATCTTTGAAACCATATCTTAGTATGGTATTAACATTAATAAATTTCGCATTGCACTCACACAGCTTCGCTGTGGTCCCCATCAATTAAATATCGAGACAGGTAGATACACAAATAAGCCCAGACATCACAGGTTATGTAACATGTACGATAATGGATATATAGAAAACGAGTATCATTTCCTTTTAGTGTGTACTGCATACAGTTCCTTGCGCACTATATATATTCCTGCCAAGTTTTACACATACCCTTCTTTGTCAAATTTCAATATATTGATGACCTCAAACAATACCTTTGTCATCAGAAATGTATCAATGTTTATTTATTATGCTGTAAAGCACCGCCAATCATATATGGCTGCAAAAAATTAATATTTGTATAATGGGCCGATGGCCTACATACACTCTGCGAATAAAGAATTTGTAAATCATATAGTTTTGGATTTACATGCTTGTTTGAAACACCATCTGTGATACTGTAGTTATTTTACAGTCCTTCCATGACTGGTTATTTGGCAACTTGTATTTATTGTGTATACGAAACCTTTCTCGTCACCATATGGATCAAATACTGCCAAGGTGCATTCTAACTCACTCACTCAAATATTCTTGCAATATCTCTTCTGTTTGCAGAGTCAGGAGGAAGCCGCGTCACATTCCTTGCACAACTGCTCCTGATGCCCATGATCGCTTCTCTGTTCATGTAGTGATCACATTCCCCTCTTGATAACAGAATGAAGACTAATGTCAAAGAGACTGTTTCCAAAAACAATTAATTCGCGTGTAATATGTATTAAATACCCTGTGTGATAACAGAATGAAAACAATTATCTCCCTATAATACTATATTAGACACATCCGGCTTTCTACTCTACTGACTAAGAGAATGTTTCCCAAAACAAATCCGTCGTGTTTGTACTATTATGATCCTATTTATTAAACTTTCTGTATAATATTTCAAGTATGCAGTGGCAAATGTACACGCGTTGTATATGACGGATTGAAGCGTCCGAATGACCACAGACAAGATTGGTTACCAGTGTCAGTACTTTGCTGACTGACACAATTATTATTAATCACAGTATCACTGTGTTTTCAACTTTTTGCAATAATATGTTCCTTAAGAAATTATCGTTTAACGGCAGGTCTTTGATGTGCTTGAAATAAAAGGCATTAGCAGGCTTCAATCCTCGTGTTCTTTACCTACATGACATGTTGAGCTTCTGACTGATGCTAGTTGTTCCGTCGAAATAAACGGTTTAGTTCACGGCAACTCTGCGTTCGTATCCTTTATTTTAACATATACTATGTTCTGTATTTAGGACCCGTGAAGGTCCGAGTTAGAATGAACAAGAGGCGACTAACGGGATAGGGTGGTCAGGCTCGGTGGCTTGGTTGACACATGTCATCGGTTCCCAATTGCGCAGATCGATGCACATGCTGTTGATCATCGGATTGTCTGGTCCAGACTCGATTATTTACAGAACGCCGCCACATAGTTGGAATATTGCTGAGTGCGCCGTAAAACTGAACTCACTCACTCACTCTGTATTTAGGGTTAACGTGTATCGATTATTGAATGTCATGTAAATCCTTAATCTACATGCATGTACGTGAATTCCAAGGTGTCAGTTATTGTAATCTGAGACAATGTGCTTTTGTTAGAATTAACAGATTTTAAGATTTTAGATGGCACGTGATAGTTGAATATTTACGGATTTAATCTAACAGTTTGACTGTAAGAATGTTGCTGTGCAATTTATGACCAAAACACATATGGCAAACAGATATGGTTTATCCAGATATGACGAAAATTCAGTAAATGTTGATCAACTATATTGAAATAACCCAAGATTGCATGAACATACCAAGAAAAACAAACAATCATGAACGTATAAAAGTCTGAATGTAAAAGTCGTCCGGTTGGTCAGCTGATGTATTAGGCATCAAGTGTTTCAGCGTTACACATTGTATTCGGAAACAAATATACATTGCTGCAGTGCATCAACTGTTCCACGTCCAATAACCGCATATACACACATGGAAAACGTATCGCAACATCTCATATTTTTCATAGTGTAATTTTCCATTAACAGGAGCAAGGGAACTTATCTTCAGTTTAACGCATACTCTGGATAAACAGACTTCAAGGAATAATAAACGTAATAAGATCGATAACCATCTTTGCATTCAGAGAAGCAAACATGGAACAAAAAGGACTTATTTTGTACGGCTGATATGATCGTATGACGTAAACGAGTTTCTTCTTATCCATTGAAGAGCCTGGCATACAATTCCCAAGAAATCGCATTGGTATCAATAACCGAGCCCAATGTCAGTATGTGGTATAATCTCCGCCAACTGCAATACCATCCCTGACACTACTCCTCATTGACTGTATCAGACGTGGGATTTGACATTCTTGTTCCTGTGTACCGTGACTCTAAATAATAACTCACTCACTCACCCTGTTGTGTACCGTTGTCCATTGATATTTGTCTGATCGCCACAAAGTCACGTTTACAGTCATGTGAGAGGCACCCCCGCTCCGCCAACCAACCCCAGAGAACAGATAAAGACCCGCAGAAGGTTTTAATACATACTCAAGTACAATGTCTTTATAGTGTTTGTTTAAACGGGAGACATTCCGACTGTATCAGGAGTAGCAGTACATACTGGTAACATTTTCACCGCTGCTATTAAGAGTGTTGAAGGTTCATTGATACTCGATTATTGGTGTGTTTGTATATGTTAGAAAGTGTATCATGTGTGTGTATATGTGTGTGAGTGTGTATGTATCACACCCTCTCATATAACCTACATATCGTCTATTTGTATATTAAATGTCATCACATTTGACAACATTGTGGCGTTAGACACATTTCCTCACTTATATGGGAAATTGAATATTAATATCTGTTACTAATTAAATGCAGTAGCATTATAACGACAGACATATCTTTGAATAATTAAATTTAATTAGATTAAGTCTACCGCGACTTCCACTGTGGACTGTGGCGTAGGCTGACTTTGTGTGCTGGCGATTAGGTGCCTGACTCTGAGGGTGTGGGTTCAAATGTCGGATGGGACTCAACCCAACAAAAGTACTAGAATTTGTACGCTACTATGAAAATGTAATCCCAAATATAACATATGTTAAAGATATTTAGTCGTTTAATAAAAACGTGTTATCACCATGTCTGGTCGTTTATTCCCGGCTTAAAGTGGTTGGTTCTTTATACATAAAAATAGGCAATGAAAAAATACACTCATTCATTTTTTAGAATGTATCCGTTTGTCCCCTCTACGTTCTTCCTTCCCACACATAACGTTGGCCCAGACGTTGTCCTCAGCTGTTGGGATAAAGTCAACAGTAAGAGTTTACGACACTAGTAGCACTTGTGTGCAGCATAGATATGAATGAAAGCAAGTGTGAAGTAGCGCAATCAATCGTGGTTTATTGTGACTTGAAATGTGATTGAACTCAGCCTCAAAATGTTCGGAAGGGACACTGGTAAGACGCAGCTTGTATTTATTTAAGCGCCAATATTAATGCATAAGTATGTTTCATGTCGCTATGTATCAACAAGAATACCCGACCACATGGTGTAGATATGTTCAAACAAGACATTTAAGCCACTATGAGAGTTTACGTAAAGAGCATGGTTTAGCAGAGTTTTTTTCATGGATGTGGAGAGGGTTTTGCCCCTTCTATTTATACGCATAACATGCCTGAACGTTTGTATCTCGCACGATAACCTGACAAGAGACATAATTTACACGAGGTCAAAGCTGTCGAGATTCATGATACAAGTTAAGGCGATTTAAGACTGAATGTGGGACTGATATTTCCGGTGTACGTGACTGCCCGACAGGAACAGGATCTGTTGAGATAATTTACTTCCTGTGCAAACAGACAATGCAACGTTTATCTTAACGGCGGTGAAAATAGTTTCATGGGACAACGAATGTATTACTGTGTGCCTGCTTTGAAAGTCACCCCCTCAAGAAATCAACTCACTACACTGCACTAACTTCCCTGGTACGCGAGAAAACTGCGTGTATACAGGCTGGGATAAGGACAAAGAAATCACAAGCCTTTATAATACCTGACAATTTAGAAAATTGGCAAAGTCAACTTTCTCAGAGCGAAAGTACAGAAGTAGTGATTGAGTGAGTTTAGTTTTACGCGGTACTCAGCGATATTCCAGCTAAATGGCGGCAGTCTGTAAGTAATAGAATCTGGACCAGACAATCCAGTTATCAACAGCATGCGCATCGACCTATCCATTTGGGATACGATGACATGTGGCAACCAAGTCAGCGATCCCGTTAGTCGCCTCTTACGACAAGACTGTACAGGCGCCACATTTGTTTATTACAATATAAAGAATACATACGTCTCAGAAGGAAGTCCTGTGTGTAATAAATTTTATTAATGAGCAACTGAATATTAAGTACAATGATTGCATTACATATATTTAGTAGTTAATGCACGAGGCCAATTTAAACATGCGTGTTACTTACACATTGTTAGAGACAAAGAAATAAAGCTTGTTTGCCCACAAGGGTTCGTGAGCGATGGGTGATTCATGTGATTAAAGTGTTCGTTTGGTCCGGTTCGAACCACAAAACAGTTGAAATACATGAAGCCCATTCCTAGTGCTGTCTATCATAATATTCCATGATTTTTCCCACACATTTGAAGCATGTTAAATCGCAACCGTTGCTCATTAAAGTGCTTTTCGGTCTTAATCATTCCCTTTTTTGTATTGGCTAAGTGTCGTTTTAGCAACTGACTTATTCAGAGCCCATTTGGCTGTAGAAGTTCTAATACTTATAGTAAGTGATACATATACTGACGACGTATGTCTTAGACGTATGTCATTATAGTATGACAATTTGTATAATAAACTCACGGCCAACATAGTCATACCATTTTAAAACTGAATGTGCCAAACAGGACAATGCGATGTGCAGAAAGTCACACGCGACCATGGCACATTCTTTGCAGAACATGGGGAAATTGAAGAAGGCCATGGTTGGCTTCCGAACAACACAGGTTGACCCCCCCGGTACAATACAGATTGCAGCCACCATTGCACACTTTGCTATGCTAGAAAGTTTAGTTGCTTCACAAGCTGTCAGGCCGAGCAGGCGGGGGCATATCAAAACCATATTGTGTTGAAAAATCAGACAGTCTTCAGCAAATTAAGTCAGACACCAGTTGTTAAACTGCATTTAACACCAAGTACATTGATTGAGGCTCCTGAAGGAACAACTTGCAACGGAACGTTATTTAAGTGTTTAAAAATTTAAGCTATGGCAAACTCACAAAATATGAAGGGAATATAGGGATATGTAATGTGAACGCACTGACAACGCTCATGGGTCTCCAAAATCATTATCTTTGAACCATCAAGCAGAAACGTGAAACAGGATACGAGCCTGTTTTCCTGGACGAGACATGGGTCACTGCTACTCACTCAGCAAACAGTCAGTGAGTACCCAGTTGGGACTGCAATCTGTGTGGGAGAAAGATACCATTAGGAAATGGTGAAACACCTGTCATGCTGGATGTGCAAGGCGGGGTTTTCTCCGATGCTGTGACCTCGTTTTTGTGACCCCAAGGAAAAGGACAACAGGCGATTATCACACATAAATAAAAGGCATGATTCTTCTGGAGAGGGTGAACTATACCTTCGTCCTTCCTTTGCCTGTCAGGTCCCTAAGTATCATGGGCAAAGCACCATGACAAACTTTGCAGGTGTATGATGTTTCATTCCTGGACAACAATACCACATCTATATGAAATCATCACATTTAACAAACCTTAGGATTGGTAATTATATCAAAGGACTTCCCTGTTACCACTGCGATATAAATCCAAGGGGTATCGTCAACGATATCGAAAGAACTTAAATCGCGGATATTGACAGGTGGTAAATAATCCCTTGGTCGGGTAACTTAGAGCCATGGCAAAGTTGCGTGACCAAAAAGGTCAACGAGAGTCAGGGTGGTGT